GGGACACCTCACACAGACCACTTCAATAAGCTAAAGTGGTCTGGGTGCCTACAGTGTCCCTTTAACAATCCGTTATATCATACACAGTGAGTATGATAAAACTGGATTCTAGCAATACACTAGCAAGAAAAAGTATGTGAACCCTTTGGAATGATATGGATTTCTGCACAAATTGGTCATAAAATGTGATCTGATCATCATCTAAGTCACGACAATTGACAATCACAGTCTGCTTAAACTAATAACACACAAAGAATGAAATGTTGCCATGTTTTTATTGAACACACCATGTAAACATTCACAGTGCAGGTGGAAAAAGTATGTGAACCCTTGGATTTAATAACTGGTTGAACCTCCTTTGGCAGCAATAACTTCAACCAAACGTTTCCTGTAGTTGCAGATCAGACGTGCACAACGGTCAGGAGTAATTCTTGACCATTCCTCTTTACAGAACTGTTTCAGTTCAGCAATATTCTTGGGATGTCTGGTGTGAATCGCTTTGTTGAGGTCATGCCACAGCATCTCAATCGGGTTGAGGTCAGGACTCTGACTGGGCCACTTCAGAAGGCGTATTTTCTTCTGTTTAAGCCATTCTGTTGTTGATTTACTTCTATGCTTTGGGTCATTGTCCTGCTGCAACACCCATCTTCTGTTGAGCTTCAGCTGGTAGACAGATGACCTTAAGTTCTCCTGAAAAATGTCTTGATAAACTTGGGAATTCATTTTTCCTTCGATGATAGCAATCCGTCCAGGCCCTGACACAGCAAAGCAGCCCCAAACCATGATGCCCCCACCACCATACTTCACAGTTGGGATGAGGTTTTGATGTTGGTGTGCTGTGCCTTTTTTTCGCCACACATAGTGTTGTGTGTTTCTTCCAAACAACTCAACTTTGGTTTCATCTGCCCACAGAATATTTTGCCAGTACTGCTGTGGAACATCCAGGTGCTCTTGTGCAAACTGTAAACGTGCAGCAATGTTTTGTTTGGACAGCAGTGGCTTCCTCTGTGGTATCCTCCCATGAAATCCATTCTTGTTTAGTGTTTTTTTTTTTCCAAACTTTTTATTGAGTTTTAGTAGATTAGAGGGGAAGGGTACAGAAGAGAAGGGGATGTGTTTTACATTCAATACCCAAGGTTATCTCAGCCCCAATTCCAGAGGGTAGATCAATTATATAACAGATTTTTACCTTCCCTTCCTCAAATTACAGCAGCAATCATGAATCACTATTACTTGGGGAATCCCGGGTAACATCACTCTTATGTCAATAACATTTACGTCTACGTCATATTTATTCCCTTCCCTTCCACAGGGCAATAAGGGAGGGAGAAAGAACTAGGGGGAAGGTTAAATGGGGGGAGGGAGTGTCGATCTGCTAATGATAGGAGATTATGCTGAGTATTTAAATAGTCTCTATGGCTTTTGAGACACTGGGTTCTGTTGTCGCCAAGATTCCCATTGGTCCCATGCTGTATGCCAAGTCTTTTTTGTGGATCTTAGGCGCCTAGCTTCTAGCTCATACCGTTTAGTGTTGTCAACCTCACCCAAGCACTGCCCAATATCGGGAGAGTGGTCCTTGAACCACGACCTTCCTATTGTTGCCAATGCCGCGATGATGATGTGATATATTAGGTATAGGATGGCCTTTTGGAGGTTTTCCGGCAACACCAGCAGCAGGTAGGTCTCTGGCAGATGTGGTAGTTTCTTGCCTGTTATTGCCATTATCGTGGCTGAAATACCCTCCCAGAACCCCTTAAGTTTCGGGCAGAACCACCAGATGTGGAGCATGTTTCCAGGCTATGCTCGACATCTCCAACACAACTTAGACCTTTCATGGTCCATTTTGTGTAGTCTTGTGGGAGCCATGTACATTCTGTATAACACTTTCCTACTCGTTTCAATATGAGATGAATTGAGTGTGAGGCTCTTATGTGCAAGGAATATTTTTGCCCATTGTTCATCTGATATGGTCTTGTGGAGATCTCTCTCCCAGGCCCCCATGAACGTCGGCTTCCCTGATTTATCGTGTTTCGTTATTAGTTGATATAGTAATGATAACAGTTTAGGAGGGGGTTTCGGGGCCATGCACAGTTTTTCCATCTCCCTCAGCAGAGAGTTGTGTGGCTGTGGTGTGTCCCCCTTGAAATTTTTCCTCACCCAAGACTGCAATTGCAAATGCGAATATTGTGCCTTCACTGGAAGCTGGAATTTTTGGGTCAAGGAGGGGAAATCTAATATGCGACCATCTGTTAGTATTTGAAATAAGTATGTGACCCCATGCTTGTACCACATACCATGGTCAAAGTCGGGAATAAAGAATTCTAAGACTTGAATTGGCAGAGCAGGGAATATATAGGCATCAGGGCGATGTCTTATAAGAAGTTTGTCCGATGTTTGAAGCGTCGCTGCCGTTGTTGGACAGATATTGTTGAGTTTCGGTCTATAGGGTTTAGGTAACCAAGCTAGTGTGGTCAAGGAGAGCCCCCCTGCGTGTGAGGATTCTATATGACTCCACGTCAGTGGATTCTTGTCGTAGAAGGTGGTTACCAGCGTGCTCGTCAGAACCGCTGCGTAATATCTTGAAATGTTTGGCGCTCCTAGCCCCCCCTCCCTAAATTGTTTATACATGATTTCAGCCGATATCCTAGGCTTCTTCCATCCCCAGATGAATTGGTTTATCGATTGTTGGGATTCTTTGAAGAATGTTTTTGGTATTCTAATTTGAAGTGTTCTGAAAAGATATTGCAGTCTTGGTAGGATCATCATTTTGACGGCAGCTATTCTGCCTATCCACGATATATATTTCTTCCTCCAACTTTGTAACTGTTGCTTGATAGTGTTATGTATTTTATATAGTTTGCCTTGTATAGTTGGTTTGTTTGGGACGTGAGGTTGATGCCTAAGAAGGTCAAGTGGGTTCGTCGCCAGTCATATGCATGGGTGGTTTGAAATTGGGATTTAGTGATGTTTAGGCCCATGGCCTGCGTTTTGGTTGTGTTCAGTTTGTAGTAGGAGCAGTTGCTGAACCTCGTTATTATGGTTCGTAGCATTGGAAGAGAGATCTCGGGTTTAGATAATGTGAGCATAACGTCATCAGCAAAGAGAGTAATTTTGTGCGTCCTCCCTCCTACCAATATCCCGTGTACATCTTGTGAACTCCTTATGTGCTGTGCAAGGGGTTCTAATGCCAGTATATACATTAAGGGAGACAGTGGGCATCCCTGCCTAGACCCGTTTGAGATGTAAAATGATTTGGAGGTGAAACCCCCATTGGATATTTTTGCAGTTGGGTTTTCATAGAGCGCCGATACTAGTGTAATGAAGCATCAAATAATGGGTCGCAATTTCGGCATTTCGGATCTGGACTGCCCGTATGGGTGGGACCAGTCTGATATGCTTCAGATATGTTCTCTCTGTAAAGGCACAAGATGAGCAAAAATCAGCTTGAGAACTGAGCAGGGACCGACCGAAGGGCAGGCTATTTCAGCTGCTGCCCGTTCTCAGTATTCTCTTGCGAACCATTTTTGACTCTCCAAAAGTTTAAAGGGATAATCCAGACGTGGACCCCTTGCTCACGGTGCCTAGGGAGATATCAGCTATGCCTCACTGATGATGCCTAACAAGGCTGAAACGATCGTCTGGGGTTGCTGTATCTCTCGTGCAAAGAGAACTTGCTGGCATTTCAGATCTGGACTGCCCGTATGGGTGCGACCAGTCTGATATGCTTCAGATATGTTCTCTCTGTAATGGCACAAGATGAGCAAAAATCAGCTTGAGAACTGAGCAGGGACCGACCGAAGGGCAGGCTATTTCAGCTGCTGCCCGTTCTCAGTATTCTCTTGTGACCCATTTTTGACTCTCCAAAAGTTTAAAGGGATAAACCAGACGTGGACCCCTTGCTCACGGTGCCTAGGGAGATATCAGCTATGCCTCACTGATGATACCTAACAAGGCTGAAACTATCGTCTGGGGTTGCTGTATCTCTCGTGCAGAGAGAACTTGCTGGCATTTTGGATCTGGACTGCCCGTATGGGTGGGACCAGTCTGATATGCTTCAGATATGTTCTCTCTGTAATGGCACAAGATGAGCAAAAATCAGCTTGAGAACTGAGCGGGGACCGACCGAAGGGCAGGCTATTTCAGCTGCTGCCCGTTCTCAGTATTCTCTTGCAACCCATTTTTCACTCTCCTAGTGTAATGAAGCACTCCAGGAAGGCTAGCTTCCGGAGTACTGCTTTTAGGTAGCCCCAGTGCAGCTTGTCAAATGCTTTTTCTGCATCTAGCGATAGTACCACACTGGGGTCCCCGGTTTTCTGTATTGTATGGAGAAGGTCGATCAATTTTCTGGTCCCATCTGAGCCTTGTCTACCACGTATTAACCCTATTTGATCGTCGTTTATTAGTTTGGGTAAGATGTTCCCGAGCCTATTGGCATAAATTTTAGCTAGTATCTTTAGGTCTGTATATAGCAGCGAGATGGGGTGCAGATTTTGGCTCCTATTGGGCGGCTTTCTGGGCTTTGGCAGGGTTGTTATATGAGCTAGTAGCATTTCTTTAGGAACGGTACCCGTAGATCGTATGTGGTTATATAGTTTCTCTAATTGGGGGGTTAGCAGATGTGAGAAAGTTTTGTAATATAGGTTTGTGAAGCCATCCGGGCCGGGGGATTTCCCTTTGGGAAGCGTTTTGATCGTGAGCTCTATCTCTTTTTGAGTGATAGGTTCTGCCAACAAGGATTGATCTGGCTGTGTAAGCTGCTGTAGTCGGGCGTCTTTTAGGAACAAGTCTATTTCTGCTTGAGATGGTTGGTGTGTCTGTATGTCATTTTTTAAATTGTAAAGTGCATCATAGTAATCTGCCAATGTGTCATTGATATCCTTCGGGTTATATAGTCTATTCCCCATGCTATAGAGAAGATATGGGATTTTTGCGTTTTGTCGTTGTTGCCTTAAGAGTTTTGCCAGGGTTTTCCCTGCTCTGTTTCCTTGTGTATACGTTGTCTATTTTAGTTTGTATGTTATGAGGGCTGTGGCTCGCAAATGCTTATTATTCAATTCCTTTCTTAAGTCATCTATGCGCTGTTGCGTAAAGGAAGTTGGGGCCCTGGTTTGCTTAAGGGTTTCTTCCCTTAGGGACCTCAAAAGATCTATATATTCTTGTCTGGATTTTTTATCTAAATGTGATGCTTGACTGATTAGCAGGCCTCTAACGACCGCTTTATGTGCCTGCCATTGTGTGGTCACAGATGTGTCCGGAGTACTGTTAAGGTCAAAGAAGGAAGTTATTCCTTCTTCTAATTTGGTCAGGAGAAGGAGAAGATGGTCACTCAGACGCCACGGGGCCATCCCTCGTGATGGGGAAGTGTCCTCTAGTGTTAGGTGCATTGGGGCATGATCCGACCACACCATATTCCCTATTTCACTATGTGTGGCTTTCGGCAGTAGATCTCCCGAAATAAATATGAAATCTATTCTGGTGTACGTTTTGTGTACCTGGGAGTAGAATGTAAATTCCTGGTCGTTTGGATGGTGTGCTCGCCAGACGTCATATAGATTGTATTCTGAAAGGAGTTTCAAAAGGAGGTCCGCCTGTCTCCCCACTACTTTTTGTCTATGGGACAATTCCGAAGTAGTGGTGTCCATACGGACGTGTAATACGTGATTTAAGTCCCCGCATAAAATCGTGGGAGCCTGTAAGTTAGTAGGGATTTTAGAGCGCACACTTCGCAAAAAGTTCCCTTGATTGTCATTGTCATTGTCACCGCGTACATTAATAGTCTGTAGTTTCATAATTTATTTTGGTAGTAATTTGACCTCTGTGCAGTGTGGTATAGTGGTAGTCTGATGCTCCAAAATACCAAAGAGGATAAACGGGTCTAGGCAGTGGGATGCGACTGAGGTTTGGATGCCTAAGCGATTTGCCTGTGTGCATAAGGAGGCGGCAATATAAGAGCCTATGCTAAGTAGTATGTCTATATTCGCATGACCGACTTGGGGGAAGTTGCGGCTAAGGGAGAAAAACTTGGATGGGGTAGAAACTATGTACAAATCGTCTCCTAGAGAGACTGTATGTGGAACGTCCACATCTGGGGTATGTTGGAGAATTCGCTTCTCCATTAGCGTGGCCAAGTGCACCTCTTTGTGAGTGTGTGTCGCCGCTGCTAATGTAGCGGATGCATTCTAAATCATCTGGCGGGGGGGGGGCGGAGCCTAGCATCCAACCTGAACGGTCGCATCTCCTCTGAGCTCCGGCAAACTCGGCCTGAAATAAGCACTAAACCCGGCAAAATCTTGCGAAAGCAACCCTACGGGACCCCCAATCACACACAACGTCATGGGGCGCAAAACTAAGAAGCAAAAAGCTGAAAAACCTAACCTAGGCATGAACATTGGAGACTTATGGCGGCAGGCACATGGAGCCGCACAAGCCAAGATGGCGTCTTACCACGACGACAGCTCCGACTTCTCGGATGATCACACTCTGGAGTCCGGAGACCAGCTCTTACTGGATCCTCCACGACCAAAAGTGACCCCAGCGCCACCCCCGATTAAACACGACTCATCGCCGGTAACCAAGGCCGACATGCAAGAGCTGCTGGCGGGCCTTCGACGAGACATACAGGCGGACGTGGCCGCACTCTGCGCCGACCTTCAAGGCCTATATATATTATTATTATTATTATTTATTTATTTATTTATTTATTTATTTTTTATTATATAGAAAACTTCTACTCGAAGCCTTATGTAATCATTTGCAAGATTTCCCACTCAATTTCAAACTCTTTGGGCAATGAAATAGAAAGATATTACCTTTTCCACAATCTTGAACTGAAAAGGAAAGTGTTTGGCTGGGCTGTTCCAGAGTATCACATCAACCAACAGACTGGAAATGAAAGCCACATTTTGTCAATTTCTTCCCAGGGGTAACTTTAGATAATTAGCAGTTTCCTTGTTAATGCTTGCTAATTCTCTGTTTACTGATTAGATTTCTTGGGGTTATTCATAAACCCCAAACTAAAGAGAACTGCAACCTTTCGGCCAAAATATCCAAATTGAAAGAAATCTCCTACATGCCTAATTTTGTAGCTGTGCTGTTTGGTCTAAAATTTACATTTATCCCACAATTTTTGATTTTATGAATAACTCCAAATGAGGTTTAAGGTAATAAAACCATACATTCAAATTACTCCCTCCCTAGCAACCCACACAAGCAAGTATGCATGCATTTGTTTTAAACAATCTAAGCAACATAGCTACTATAGCCATGGCCATCTTTAATATTGATTGGACCCTGGGCAAGCATGTGCTTGGTCCCCCTGAATCACACCCTCCTCCCCAACCCAGTGGCAGAACTAATGTAGAGCATGCCCTGGTGCAAGAAATTGTTTTGGGCCTCCCTCTAGCGTAAGAGTGGAGAAAAGATAGATCCCCATCTGTCGTGCAACTCCCACATTGCTATGCTAGCTGGGGATCTACCATCCTTGCAGGGCGTCGTCTCCCCAAATTGACTCCGCGTCTTGCTCCCTTTTTCAGTATCGCTGTCCTGGAAAACCCACCAAACTGTGACAACACAAAATAAACAACAAGACACCAAGAACACAATTCCAGAACTAGGGTGGGAGGGTGGGAAAACAGTCAGGCTCCCTCAATTGATTCTGTTGATGGGTAATTGCCCACCCTCTCTCTCTCAACAAAACCCCCCAATTTGCAACATTTGTTTCCTTTTTAAAACCAGCCCACAATCATAGGCAGCAGCCATGCTCCCCCTTCCCTAGTTGTCCAGGGGGAAACTTGACTTCTGACCCATATCATCCCCCACTGTTTCCCCCAATAACAGACATGACACATTTTCATAGTGGATAAGGGCAACAGCCACAGCTTTTATTAACATAACCATTTAACAATGTCCAAAACTCTGTCAGCTGTTGGGCGCTTGCCCAACAGACAGTTCTCACAAAACATTTGTTCCACAAGCCTCAACAGCTCAATAGCTATTTGCCATCAGCTCCGTGCAGACTGTCGTCTCCCCAAAGTGACTCAACGTGTTGCTCCCTTTTTCAGCTGCGCTGTCCAGGAAAACCTGCCACATCGATTCCCTTCTCGCACGCAATGCCGTGCCAGCATCGTGCCCCCCAGCGGACAGCGCAGCTTCAAAATGTTAAAATTCCAGGAACGTTAAAATACCCACTATCACGCCATTGCCGAGTCCAGCCCA